CCCCAAAACCCCAAAACCCCAAAACCCCGAAGGACTAAGATAGATTTGAATAATATTATTTAAAGCTGAAATAATCTTCAACTATATTTTCAAAGAGCAGGCTCCTCTCCTCTACAAAAGTCAGGTTCTCCTTCTTAGATTCGTAAGTTATCTGATCTTCTCTTGAAGAGCTAAAGAAGCCATTCTCGTCAAGGTCTTGGGTACGAGGCCTTTTTGAGCTATCTGCTTTCTTGAGATCAGTTGAGGTTTCGAGCGTTTCCTGACATTTTTGAGAATCTATTTGTTAGAAGGATTAAATTTACTCAAGCTATTTGCTCTATAGATGCTTTCTTTAAAGGGATTAACATGATAAAGTCCCTTGCTCTTACGGCTCAGTATCAGGTTATCTTGATCTTCTTCCTTCTTAATCTTGAACTCCTCATTCTTCGGCTCTTGTTTGTCATCTTCATAGAAATTCCAGTTGAGGTCAAGGAAGTTAAAGGTGAAGGAATTATTCATACTAGATTTCATACTATTTTCTATATAATTTTCGGTAATTTCTTTGATTTCTTCCTGTATAATAATGGAGCTTTTGTCCAGGACTTCCTCAGGGCTCTTACAGCTGTTCCTAAGAATAGATGTCCTTAAATCTTGGTTAAGTGTCTCCTGACCAATGATATCATCCAATAGGAAGGATTCGTGATATCATCCAGCTTCTGTTTCCTTCTTGAGCCTAGAGATACACCCAGATTGCATTTTTGAAATCTGTGAAGGACTTAGACCTTCTAGAAATCTGAATGCTTCCTCGATAAGGTTGACATAATACTGTCTGTTGGTCATTTTGATCGAATCAGGTGAGAACTGTTCTCAGAGGAGCACGTCTATCAAGATATTTGGTGAGTTTGCTTGCACTACGATATACCTGATCAGTCCTTGTAGGTTATCCGCATCTATGAAGATATCCTTATTCACAGAGAGATACTTCGTCATTAGCTGATACACATATTCTAGCTTACAGATGATGCTCTCTGTCTTGGTCAGCTTAACGAATGGGTCGATGAAATGTGAATACGGCTGGTGAGGGAAACAAACTTTAGTGTAATTTTCAGGAGCTTCAGCCTTCTTCTGCACCAAATCTACAGCTATTTCAGGTTCAACCCCAAACTCTTGAGGACCAATCAGCAGGTGTAGCTGTTCCATCACATTTTGAATTTTGTATAAAGTTGGTTTTAGCTTTTGGCAAAGAAGATTGTAAGCAGTTGAATATGTGTTCCCTCTGAGGACAAAGCCAGTGATCATATTTAGAAGAATATCTTTCCATCATTCTTGTTGTTTTAACTTTAACGAGTAGAACTTAATCACAACGATGAGTGTCAAATTGATGATATTGAGAAGATCTGTGATGGCTGAGTCTCAGATATCTAAATTATCACACCTAAGGGTTGCTTACCTGTGGTGTCTTCTTCAGTGAGAGCCACCCCACTGTCCTTGTCAAAACCCAAGTACTGCTTATAATAATCTGAGAACTCATAGTTAAACAAAGTCAAAAACTGGTTGATTGGGTGAGAGCTATTTTTGCAACTGGTTTCTGATAAGCTCAAGTTTAGACTTAAAATCGTCATCTTGGAGGCACAAAGCGGCGTAACCTGATTCATCAATCGGATCTTGTGCGAAAGAAGACTTTACAGGTGTTTTTATTGAATGAGTCTTCTTTTTATGCTTGCTTGACATTTCTTTTGCTGTGTACTTCATCTTATTTTTAAAAGAGTCTGCTTTAGTCCTCGATGTCTTCCCCTCAGACTTCCTTTTCCCTATCTTTGTCTGCATTGGTGGTGCTGGTACTTTAAATTCTTCCTCATTAGTCAGGTCTGAGAGTAAGAACTCAGACTTAAATTCTAGCCCAATATTATCTTTGATATTTTTCAGGTGAACTCTCATTTTATTTAATCCACTCTGAATGCTCACTTATTTTCTCAAGGGAGTTAAGGGAGGTCTCTAAGTACTCCTGTACAGGCTGGTTCTCCCACCCATTCTTCGATGACTTAACTTCCTTATAATCCATATCTATACCTCCGAGTGTCCATCTAATCATACTTGCGAGAATATTTTACTTTCCTCTTCCTCAAGGATCTCATGGCACGAGTTCTCCCCATCTTTGTACTTATTGTAGTACTCTTGCTTGAGCAGCTTGGAGTAAGCCTCCTTTAGATTTTTCTTCTTTCTTTTCTTTGATCTTAGAGGAGATTTGGCTCTATTAGGGCATGTAGTAGTTTCTAGGGCTGATTTACTTCCTTTTTCGGTGTTAGAGAAAGTGTGTGTAAAGCATTTTTCAAGCTCTTCATTGTTCTTCTTCTTTTCTAATTTTTCCTATACATTATCCTTATCTTTACCAATAGTTCTCTATGATTCATGTTACCAAAATCAATAATTTATTAATATTTTAGCTATTTCGGGGTTTTGGGGTTTTGGGGTTTTGGGGTTTTGGGG